GGTCGTCATGTTACAAGTTCTCACTATATTAAAAAACTTGCAAATAATGTAACTGTCCCACGTCGTTGGTTAGTTTATTCTATTTCTAAGGATCGAGTTTTTTATTTTTGTTCTTGGCTTTTCGATAATCAATCGATGTCGAAATTAGTGTCTGATGGATATAAAGACTGGAAACATTTATCTGAAACTCTAAAAATGCATGAAAACAGCATATTCCCATAAGAAATTTTACCATCAATGGATTGAAGCTGAAATGAGATTAAAGGAAGGAAAAAAAACGATCGATTGCGAAGAACGGAAATTGATTAGCAGAGAAACTTTGCGGTGGAATAATGTTTTGATTCGGTTGATGAATATTGTTCTTTACCTCGCTGAAAATAATATGGCATTTAGAGGAACCTCGGACAAATTGTACACTCCGAACAATGGGAAGTTCTTGGGTCTAGTACAACTAATAGACAAGTTTGATCCGGTCATGCAGGAACATTTGAGATTAGCAATGATAGGTAATATTTCGGACCACTACTGCGGAAAAGATAAGTATACCGGTTGAGCGTAGGGTACGCGATAGGCAGTTGCGCTCATACGCTACCGCGAACGGTATACGCGCGCTCTGATTGGTTGGAGTTTTCGCTTAATATCTCCTTAACGAAACCTCGGACAACATTTTCGCTAAGGAAAAAGTTGTTTCAAATCACCTCCTGAACCACCCCTTTCAAGATGTTACAACATATTTGAGACACCCTATATAACCATAAAGGAGCATTTCATAGAATTCATTTCTGTCAGTGACTAGTGGCGCAGGGCTTACTGAAGTAATTCTGAATGTACTAAATAAACACGAACTTGAACTGCATAATCATAGGGGTCAAGGGTACGATAACGGAGTAAACATGAAGAGAAAAAATAGTATATAACCTGAAACTTCTTTCATTAATATCTCATCACGCCTGCAATATTTTCTACATTTAAAGGCATTTTTCTTATGTAAATTGCATGTAAACTTTCGAATAAAACCAAAATCAATGAAATTGATCCATGTACAACTGAGATATCGTAATATCATGTCATGAATCTGTCGGAAATTGTAGATTTGTCTTCTGATTCTGATTCTTATTCTTTTTGTCAACAATTAGCCAATAGGAGCTAAGCCCATTCGTCGATTCGTCGGCTTTCGGAATCAGTCGGCAGGGCTCGTCGGCCAGAATTGTAATATGGCTGCCGTTTACGCCGCTCGTTCATTTCTAACCTGTATAACCTGTCAGTTTGTATTTGTGACATTTGGACGCCGCAAATTGAATAATTATTTTAAAGACTACGTGTAGTAATATTGTATTGGGAAGTATATGGTTATAAGTGATGAAACATCTACCTTGACGTTGTGAAAAGAAATATATAAATTTGGTGTTTGAGTGTGCAGTTCATAATACAACTTTCTGTAAATGTTCATTTTGTGCAAATAAGAAACATTGTGCAATAAGAATAAGTGTTCTAATACAATATAATTGTTTCTTATAAATAGTAGACCACATTTTTTATTTTCACTCCGTCATAAACGTTTAGATTGCTTGCAACAAGACTTTCTGTCATGCATTCTGTGTACATATGAACTGTATTCTAGTACAATAAATTGTGCGTTAGAAATAGTGGATCTCTATTCATTTCTCATTCTTCTTTAATAAATCTCTTGCAATGAAACTTACTGCAATGCGTTCCATGTACTTTTGAAACCTTAAAGGATTCAAACCCATCTCCCATTTTCTATATTATTGTAATCACTTTATCAGTAGCATTTAAATTTCTTGGAACAAGACTTTCTGTCACGTGTCATGCATACTTTTGAGGATTTAAAGAACTAAATCTGACCTCTCTTTTTCTATATTATCGTAATACAATAAATTATGTGTTACAAATAGTGGATCTGTTCATTTTCTCATTATTTAAATTTCTTGCAACAAAACTTTCTGCCATGCATTGTGTGTACTTTTAAAAACTCAAAGGACTGAAGCTGGTCTCTTTCCTATATCTGGCTTCAGACACATTATGTATATTGTAGACTCTACGCTTACTATAATAAAAGACAAATGTATTTTTATTTTAAGCTCTACATTAATTTGCAAGTAAAATAAGGTTTGTATGTGTTATTTACAAATAAAATTAATGTCATGAAATATATAAGAGGTGAAGGCACAACATGGATAGCCATTGATGATTTACGAGTAGAAAAACAAGCTTGGCCACGAAATGCTAAAAATGCATACATATTTTTCTTCGAAAGATGTTAATTGTGGTTGTTATTACAGTTCAATGTTCAATACGTTCAGCGCCATAAACTCCTTCACGTACTATGAATTGTACACAAAGTACTATACATATAATATAATGTAAGAATTATTTGAAGTCATTCACTATACAAATTATCTTTATAACAAGTAGTGAGATCCCCAT